ATTAGGGGTCCTTCGTATTTCTTGAGTCTGAATATTTTAATGCCTCCCTAGATTTGGAAAGTTTTCTTCCAAGATTTCATGGAATAGATTATCGATGCCCTTATTAGTTTCCTCACCTTCTGGGGTACCAGTTATCCAGATGTTTGGGTGCTTAATGCTATCTAGTATTTCTTATATAGTATTCTCATTTTGCGGGGTTATTTTCTCCATTTTTTTTTGGTTGTTTTTTCTAGATGAGAGGTTTTGCCTTCAATATCCGAGATTCAATTTTCTGCATGGACTAATCAGCTTTTAATACCTTCAAGGGAGGTTTTGATTCCCTGAGTGGTAGCCTTCATTGATAATAGTTCCATTTTATTTATTTTTTTATGGTCTGTATTTCCTCTTTCAAGTCATGGAAGAACTTCAACACCTCCTGGAACTCATTTCTCCTGCATCTTCTGGAGTTCATGATTATCTCTCAGCTCTTGCATCTCATTTAGTTTTGTCACTAGGAATACTCTGAATTCTCTATCATACATTTCTAACAGTTCAATTGTACTGTCTGTGGATGATGAGGAATTGTTCTTTTCCCTTAGGGGAGAGATATTTTCTTGGTTTCTCATGTTTCTTGTGCCTCTGCAGTGGTTTCTAGTCATTCTGTGACAAAATCTCTCCTCCACTGTGCTTGTCTGAATATTTCAAGAATCTAAAAGATGGAGTTTAGAACATCACTTTCCTGGATGGTCCAGGACACACCTCAGCTTTAAAACGACTTCTTGTCTGAATATTTCTAGAGTCTTTAAATTATTTTTTATTTATCTTTAACCTGTTGATGGAAACTTAGATTGATTCTATATCTTGTAAATAAAGTTGCCATGAACATGGGAGTATAAATATCTTTTTAACATACTAACTTCATTTCCTTTGGATATATACCCCATAGTGGGATTGCTGGATCATATGGTAATTCTATTTTTAATTTTCTGAAGACCCTCCATGTGGTTTTTCATAATAATTGTGCTGATTTGCATTTCTACAAGTGGTGTATAGAAGTTCCCTTTTCTCCACATTCTTGCCAAAACTTGATTGATATCTTTCATTTTACTGATATTAGTCTTTCTAACAAATATGAGATGACATATCATTGTGGTTGTAATTTGCATTTCTCTGATGATTAGAGATGTTGAGCATTTTCATATACTTGCTGGCATTTGGTACAATACATGTCTATTCTAGTCCTTTGCCCATTTCTTTCTTTCTTTCTTTTTAAGGTTTTTGCCATAGGGCAACATGTACTCACTAGAGAGAGACAGGGAGTATCTCCCAATGAGAGGGAGAGTGAGAAATGACCTCCCCAAGGAGGATGGCCACACCATAACCCCTTCTCCATTCTCCTCCTTGGATTTTGGGCACACACACACACACACACACATACACACACACACACACACACATACACACACACACACACACACATGCCTATCATGATTTTCAAGCAGCCAGGTCCAGGATTCGAGCCACAGGCAGCCATGTGGGAGTCCACCATCTTAACCACCACACCACCCGCTCATCCCCTTTTGTACATTTTTTAATTGGGTTGCTTGTTTTCTTGTTTTTGAGTTATTTGTATATCCTATATGTCTTGGATATTAACTTTATTGAGTGTATAGTTTGCAAATGTTTTCTTCCATTCCATAAGTTGTCTCCTTACTCTGTTGATTGTTTTCTCTGTTGTTTAGAAGCTTATTCGTTTGATGTAATCTCATTTGTCTGGTTTTTGTTTTGCTATGTCGTTTTGGTTTTTATTTATGTATCCTCAATTGCTAGTGATCCTGAGCATTTTTTCATGTATTTGTTTGCCATTGTATATCCTCTTTGAAGAAATATCAATTCAAGTTTTCTGTCCATTTTTAATTCTTTTTTTTTTTCAGTTTCCCAGAAGACACATGTATTTTGCCAGAGAGACAGACAGAGAGAGAGAGAGAGAGAAGGAAAGGGATAAAGCAACCTCGATGAGACATGGTCACACCTACAATCTCATCTCCAATCCTCATTGTGCCAGGATTTGGGGCAAGCATGCACACGTACCTGGTGTGATTGATCAGAATTCTAACTATGGTCAATCACGTTGGATCTAGCTTTCTTAACCACTAGGTCATGTGACCAGCCCTTGATTTATCTTTTTATTATTGTGTTGTATGAGTTTTTAATATCTCTGTTAGGTTGTTGGAAAGTCATGACATATTTTTCTATGTAAAAATGTATCATGACTTTCTGGACAACCCAATAGAATACAAGGCCTTATAAGATCTTAATTTGCAATTTTTCTTCCGTTTTGTGGGTTGTCTTTTCACTTTCACTTTTTCTGTCTTTGAAGCACAAAAGTTTTTTTAACTTTTATGAAATCAAATTTGTCTATTTTTTTGGTTGTTTATGCTTTTGCTATCATATCTAAGAAACTTTGCCAAAAGCAAGGATGTAAAAGAGTAATACCTGTTCTCCTCTACGAGTTTTTAGTTTTAGCTCTTTAATGTATGCCTCTGATCCATTTTTTTTTTAATAAAAATATTGTTGGGACCAGCAGTTGGCATAATGGCTATGTTGCTGGACTTCCATGTAGTCGACTGCAGTTTGAGTCCCAGATCCACCAGCTTAAACTCACACTGGGCACATGTGAATGCATGCCCAAGATCCCGAGAGGAGAATGAGGAGAAGGGATTGCAGCATGGCCATCCCCCCCAGGGGGTGAATTCTTGCTTTCTGTCTCTCTGTCTCTCTCTTGTCTTTCTGGCAAGTGCATGCGCTCTATAGCAAAAAAACTCTGGAAAAAATTGTATTTACTTAGAAGCATTCAGATTGTCTATGAAACAGCTGCAACTTTTTTGTTGCAATTACAGAGTGATATTCAGTTAATAGAATAACAATTATTTCATATAGGCTGCATTGGAGACAACTGAAGATTAAAAAACTACCATCTCCATATATAACTAATTTGTGCTGTGCACCAACAAGAACCTGCTTTAAATTTCCATGCCAATTTACAACCCCCATACTGTACCACACAAGGTTAATGGCTATCAAAAATACCACCAGGACAGGGCTATTAAAGATACATTCAGTAGTATGTTAACTATACAAAAAAAAGACACTGTACAGTTTAAAAACAAATCTTACACAGCCTTACATTTCAATTTTTTTTAAAAAAGGAATGAGTTGTGTACAGGGGGGCGTTAAATGCTTTATAGACAAGGAAAAAAACGGTGCTAGAACCAACTTATCATCATCTTCTTCTTCATCTTCATCCTCTTCATCTTCCTCTTCTTCCTCATCTTCTTCATCTTCCTCGTTTTCCTCCTCCTCCTTTTTCTTGCTCTTTCAGCCTTGACAACTCCCTTTTTAGCTGCAACAGTCTTTCCTTTAGCTCAGTATGCAGCAATATCCTTTTTGTATTTTTCCTTCATTTTAGCAGCCTTCTTTCCATAAGGCTGTGTATCATCTGCAGCAGTGTTATTCCACATCTCTCCCAGTTTCTTTGCAACATCACCAGTGCATAGGCCAGGATGTTCTCCTTTGATTTGGGGGCAATATTCAGAACAGAACAAGAAAAAGGCCGAAGGAGGCCTCTTGGGTGCATTGGGATCCTTGAACTACTTTTTTGTTTCCCCTTTAGAAGGGATATAGGTTTTCATTTCTCTTTCATAGCGGGCCTTGTCTGCCTTTGCCATTACTTCAAGCTTTCCTTTCTCTTTAGCAGACATGGTCTTCCCCCTCTCTGAGCACTTCTTAGAAAACTCTGAGAAGCCGACCGAAGCATGTGGGTGCTTCTTCTTGTGCTCCTCCAGGCAAGTTTGCACAAAGAAAGCATATGATGACATTTTGCCTCTTGGCCTCGTAGGATCTCCTTTGCCCGTGTTTAGTTATTTTTCCTCTGTGAGGCACAGTCGCCCAGTGCCCATCCGGCTCTCACTTGGCCCAGCGCTGTCTCTGTGGAGCTCAATGTACTGCAATGGCTGTCCATTTTGGTTTAATATTTTTATGATGTTAGATTGGAACCCAAATTCATTCTTTTATATGTGGTATCTAGTCGTCCCAGTACCATTGGTTGAAAAGACTATTACTTTCCCTTTGACCTATCTTGGCACTCTTTGTAAAAAATCATTTGACCATAAATATGTAAGGTTTTATCTGGATTCTCTAGTCTATTCTAATAATCTATGATCATCCTTATGCCATTCCCACATATACCTAATTTCTGTAACTTTGCAGTAAGTTTTAAAATTGAAAAGTTTCAGTCCTCCAACTCTATTCTACTTCTTTTTTTGGAGGGAGTGGGGTGGGGTGGGGGGGGAGGTTTTTACTATGGGGTACATATGCTCACCAGAAAGACAGAGAGACAGAAAGCAAGAAAACACCACCACCACCACCACCCCGGGGTGGATGGCCATGCCACAATCCCTTCTCCTCCATTCTCTTCTCTGGATCTTGGGCACACACACACACATGCGCCCAGCGTGAGTTTAAGCCACCAGGTCCAGGACTTGAACCACAGTCAACTACATGGAAATCCAGAGACATAGCCATTACACCATCTGCTGGTTCCAACTTCCTTCTACTTCTTAAAGATTATTTTGGCTGGGGCCAGCAAGAAGAGTGGCGGTTAAGGGTGCTGGACTCCCACATGGCTGACCGTGGTTCAAGTCCTGGACCTGGTGGCTTGCTTGCTTTCTCTCTCTCGCTCTCTCTCTCTCTCCCTCCTCTGGTCAAATTAAAAATCAAACAAATAAATAAAGTTAAATAAAATAACTCTTTTTTAAAAAAAGATTGTTTGGGCAATTCTAAGTCCCCTTTATCTCTATATGAATTTTAACATTGGCTTGTCAATGTCTCTGAAATAGATAGGGAAATTTTAACAGGGATTGTGTTGAATCTTTAGATCAATTTGGGGAATATTGCCATCTGAACAATATTAAGATTTCCAATCCATGAACATGGGATGTCTTCCATTTATCTAAACCTTTAATTTCTTTCTGTAGCTGTTTTTACCATTTTGAGTGTACGAGGCTTACACTTCTTTGGTTATCTTTATTCTTAAGTATTTTTTTCTTTTTGATGGTATTATAGGTACTTGTGTTTTAAAATATAAACTGTTTTAGCTGCAGGTGAATCCCAACCAACCCCTTAATGTACATTCTTGAGTAAGCCTCTTTGTCTCTCTACCTCTCAGTAAGTTGTTCTTCTGCAAGATGGGGACAATAACCTCTACTTCAAAGTTAGCATGGTGATTGAGGTGACTGGATCCCACGTGGCCAACTGTACAGTTTAAATCCCTGACCTAACAAATTGTGAAAAACACTGGGTACATGAGCAAACATGCCCAAAATCTTGAGAGGAGAATGGAGGAAAGGGGATCGTGGTGTGGTTATTTCCCCTGGAGATTGCTTCCTCACTTACCTTCTCTCTTCCTCCCTCCCTCCCTCCCTCCCTCCCTCTCTCCCTCTCTTTCTTTCTCTCTCTCTCTCTCTCTCTCTCTCTCTCTCTCTCTCTCTCTCTCTCTCTCTCTCTCTCTCTCTCTCTCTCTCTCTCTCCTTGTCTCCAGTGAGCACACATGCCCGATAGTCAATTTTTTTAATTAAAAAAAAATAATATACCATCATTGAGTCATTGTGGAAAATGTCCCCCCAGCCTCCTGTATACTTAAGCATAAGCTGACTTTCAGAGTTGGAGGGAGTTGTGAAGGCTCTGTGCACCCCACACCAGGAAACATGGGAAGTCTGTCATTACTTGGTGACAAGACAGAGTTTCTGTTGTTTCTCTGCAAAAGAAGAAAAGACATTCATATTTACTCACCATGACTTTCATGTTCACAGCCTCATTTACTGAGCACAGAGCCATTTAGTATTTTTCCGTGTTTCAGATGGGGAGACCAAGACTTGGCGTGCTAAAGCAATTAGCTGAGTTCACACAATCAGTAAGTGACAAAGGCTCAGGCCCAAAGCTTTTGCCTGTACATTTGCCTCAGAGGGCTTCTCAGCCTTCAGACTATCACTACAAGGGAGGGACACTCTCCACTGAAGCCCTCATCAGGGCTCAAGGAGTTCGACTTTGATCCTTAGAAAGATTTCCTTCTTCCAAAGCATTTGAAAAGAATGCAGAGTCAAAGACAGGACTTTTTAGCCCAAAGTCCCAATAAAGACATCCAAGGAATCTGTGCACTAAGAAAAATATACATCTTCATTTTCCTTTACCCCCTACTGAAATTGAGCATTTCCTTTCCTTTCATATGTAAACAACAATACAAATAGTAGTGTTAACAATACCTGTGGATCTGTCCCCAGTAGAAATTGCAGAGACTTTTATATGAAACTCGTAACCAATATTGTGAAATATTGTTTATGCTCCTAACTATATCAAGATCATGGTAGAAAACTAGACTAACTGCTAAATCCTATTATTTAATGCAGTAGTAAAGAATCGATCTAGGGGCCAGCAAGTGGCATGGTGGCTAAAGCACTGGACTTCCAGATGGCCAACTATGGTTCAAGTCCAGACCTGGTGGCTTGCTGTTCTCACTTTCTCTCTCAGTGTGTGTCTCTCTGGTGAGCACACGTGCCCTATGCAAACTTAAATAATAATCATAATTTATAAAATAAAGTTAAATAAATGAATTTTTAAAAAAAAATCAATATAAAACTGTCCTAATGCCTTAATATTTCAATAACTGTTAACTAATATAGTTGTTTTCCTTCCTAATTCTTTGTACTTTATTTATTTTTATTTTTTGCCAGAGGGCATATGCACTTGTCAGAGAGTGCTAGAAAGAGGAAGAACGTGAGAAGTCACCCCCCATGGGGGGTGGCCATACTGCAATCCCCTCTCCATCATTCTCCTCTTGGGATTTTGGGCACCCAAGCACACATGCCCAGTGTGCTTTTCACATTGTGGGATCTAGGACTCGAACTACACAGTCAACCAAGTGGGATTAACCACCACACCATGGCTGACCTGTATTTCATTATTCTGAGACTCATCCATAGAATCACCAAACCATCAAAGCAGTCTACCTTTCTGGTCTAAGATGATAAGCCCAAAGCAAGATCTCAAAGAACCCGCTGACCTAATGTCAGAAGGGTGGCCAAGATTTCCCAATATGATGTAAACCAGGGTCTGACCCTGTTTCCTCCCATTCTCTTTCCCCAGCAGAGGTTCGGCCCAGTGGAAGACCCATCAACACTGCCCGGGAGCCACCACTCACCCACGTCTCTGGTACGTATGGCCCAGGAAACCGATGTCGCTGCCTTCACTTCATTAGCCAGAAACACAGATAGAAGTTGCTGAGTGCCTAGGAAGGGCACAAAAGTCATCCATAGGCCAGGGAAGATTTCCCCAATCCCCCCAACCCCAGGCAGACTTCAGGGGGAAATGAGCCTGAGGAGTAGAACTCTCAAAGAAGAGAGAGCCAGGGCCTTCCAGAAACACGATCAGAGCTTTGAGGTCTGGAGCCATTGGTTTCTGTGGCTTCCTGACACGGGACCGGCCAGTGTTCCTACAGACACACAGACTCAGGTCCTGCCCGGGAGTTTCCCAGACATGCTTACAGTTTTAAGGCAGGTACTGTGTCTTCTTGTCACATCCAGAAGTGGACATGGAAACTACACCTGCAGCCAAACCAATGCAAAATTATTACAGACTATCACATGGTTTTTCAAACCTTATATTTACCTTATTAGGATATGTATTAGACAGAAACCAAGACTAGGTTGAGTGCTAAAAACTCTGTTCAAGTGCCATCCTGGTCACACAGTAGCTGTGTCCTTGGACAAATGAACTCCGTCTCTGATGCTTCAGTTTGCTCTTTGGCAAAATAGGGATCTTAATACTTGCCTTAGGGAATTATTGCAAGGATAACCGTTTTAGTAGAGCACTCAGTGGGTACTTGCAGGGGCTGGGTATTGTGTAACGTACAACTGGCAACATCGGATCATTCAGCCCCTATAGTAGCCCTGCTAAGGTAGGTGATGGCCCTCCTTTGCAGAACCACAGGCGTGGCCTGTGCCGGCTGGGACTGGAGGCTCTTGCGTATTATCAGATGACAACGAGTGACAGCTCAGCTCAACATCCAGAGCTGTCCGACTTGGTAGCCCGTGTGTCTGTCCACCACACTATGCCGACATGTCTGCTCCCTTCATCTTTTTTTTTTCATTTTTTAAATTTCCTTTTCTCTTTTACGTTCAATCACGTTATTTAGCTTACAAACTGAATATCTCAACGTGCGGACATTTCTCCCTAGTGCAGTTGAGGAAAGTATGAAAGTATCTTCAACAGGTGACGCCGCATTTCTTTGTCCTATTAATGCTTTGCCTCTGTTTTTCTTCTAAATGTTTCCCCAGACTCTTCTTTCACACACTGTATCTGGTATTTACTTCTACTTCCTGTTCGTCTTTTAAAGCCCTTCCTTTTCTCTTT